AAAACAAAACTCAAATTCAAAAAGAAGATCAAACATTCTGGACTCACGGAGACTGGAGGAACTCCAGAGAATAATACCATAAGATACTCTTTTAGCCTGGAAACTACAGGCATTCCCAGAGGTTATCTCTAAAGCAAATAACAGACTGGGCTATAAAATATAGAGTAACACCTACAAGGAATGTACTCCTTAGATCATTCCATTAAACATGACCAAACAGGTAACATCTGTCCAAAATCAAAGGGAGGAACGTAAGAAAGGGCAGGAAACTAGAGAAAGAAATGGAGAAAGAAGACAAAAATAAGGAATAGTGAACACTGAGGAGATAAGAACCAATGTCATATAATTTGTGTGCAAATTACTGAATGTAAAACTAATTTTCTGTGCAAGCTTTCACCTAAAATGTCCAAAATAAAAACATTCAAAAACACAACAGAGGACAAATACCCAATCAAAAAATAGACAAAGCATTTAAATACATGTTTTTCCAAAGATATACAAATGATCAGCAAGCACATGAAAAGATGCTCAATGCCAATAGTCATTAAGGAAATGCATTTTGAAAGCACAATCAGATACAATTCAACCACTAGGATAGCTATGATCAAAAAGGAAAATAAACAAGTGTTGGTGAGTACGTGGACAAACTGGAACCCTCCCGTTCCGTGTTGATGGAGTTATAGCATCGCCACTGTGGAAACAAAGGCTGGTCCTAACTAAAAAAGTTACTACATGGAACTGTCCTATCACCCAGCAATTCCATTCCTAGGTAAGCACAAAAAGACCTGAAAGGAGAAACACAAAACAATACTTACAAGTAGTGATCACTATTGTAGTATTCACCATAGACAAAAAGTAGAAATAGCCCAAATGCATATCAATAGACAAATGGACAAATGGTAGTATATAAATAATATATTTATATTATGTCAATGACAGCCCAACTTAAAAAGAAAACAACCAACGCTGGAGAAAATGTGGAAACACTGGAACTTTCATACACTGCTGGTAGATCTATAAATATAGAAAACCTTTGTAGAAAACAATATGAGGATTACCTCAAACAAATTGGAATAGAAATTGTATACCATCTAGCAATACTTCTGCTGGGTATATGCCCTGAAGAAGTAAGAGCTAAACCACAAACAGACATATCCACTCTCATATTCATTGCAGCATAGTTCACAAAAGCAAGAAGTTGGAAATAGCTCAAATGCCCATCAGTAGAAGAATGGATAAAGAAACTGTGATATATGCACACTGGAATAGTATGCATTGCTAAAAAAAACAATGATGAAGCCATGAAACACCCAAGACATAGATGGACTTGGGGAACATTATGCCGAGTTCAGACAGTCAATCACAAAATGGCAAATATGTATGAGACCACTACTGTAAGGATAAAAGAACAAGACACAGACTTGCATACCAAAGGGTGACAGACTTTGGAGGTTCCCAAGTAATGGAGGGTAAGGGTGGGAAGATAACTCCAAAGACTAATAGGATGCCAAGGAAGTGACGTGGGTGGAAGGGAAGATGAAGTCCATAGGGTGAAGAGAAATCAGGGGATGGGAGGAGGATAGGATGCAGGTGCTGTGGGGTGTGTCACAAGTTGATGATTGGTTTGAATTGTCAAATGCAGAGTTGATGATCTGAAGTATAAACCCCTGCCCCCACCTAATTCACAATTAAAAATGCATTTTAAAAATATATAGACCATTATTCAATCATAAAGAGAAATAAGGTTCTAACACTTGCTACATGTGGCCTTCGAAAATACTAAGCTAGTTGGAATAAATCAGTTCTACAACACAATGCTATCTGTCCCATTTTTATGATACATCTAAAATGAGCAAATGTAGAGATCAGAATCTATTCGTGCTTAACAAGGGCAGGATCCTGAGTTTCGAATATGAAAAATGATGAAAACATTTGGAAGTGGATCGTGATGATGGTGTACAGCATGGTGAATACGCTATCACTAAATTGTACACACAAAAATTTGGAAATGGAAAATGTTTGTTATATACATATATTCTTACAACTTGACCATAAAAAAAACTAAAGCTGCCAGGAGTTGATGCCAACTCACAGGGACCCTATAGGACAGGGTAGAACTGCCCCTGTGGGTTTCCAAGACTGTAAGTCAATCTCAACTTTCTCCTGAGGAGCAGTTGGTGGTTTCAAAACAATTTAATTAGAAATAAGCCAAAAAATTTAAGTAGTCCATAGGAAAACACAGGGGGGGAAAAATAATGCTGGAACAGAAAAATGACGAATAAGTGGGAAACAAAGTGGCAGAATTAAGCCCTGACAAATCAATAATTATATTACATGTAAATGGTCTAAATAAAATATAGATATTAGACTTCTTAAAATGATTCCATGAACTACATGCTGTCTTTAAGAAATTCTCTTCAAATATAATATAATCAGGTTTAAAGAAAAAGAATAGACAAAGATATATTACGTAAACATCAAGAGTAGTTATACTAGTTTCAGAAACAATAAACTTCAGAGCAAAGGAAATTACCAGAGACAATGAGTCACATTATTAAATAAGGGTTAATGAACCCAACAACAGAGCTAAAAAAGCTTATGAAGGAAAGGCTGATAGAACTAAAAGAAGAAATTGTAGTGTAAGATGTCAACATCCCTATCTCAAGTGATAGAACTAGACAGAAAATCAATAGATACAAAAGAAATGAAAAGTATTTTGAACCTGTAAAATCTATATTGTTAAAGCCTCTCCCAGTTAACAGCAGAGTTAGATTTTCAAGTGTCCATAAGGCATATAACAAAACAGACTTTATCTGAAAAATAAATTCAAATGCTACTGAGTCCATTGAGATTCTTAGTGACCCTACAGGACTGAATAGAACGACCCTTTGGTTTTTACGAGACTTTTTAAATCTTCATGGGAACTGACAACATAGGCTCAAACCTTGGGCCTTGTGTTTAGTAGCTCAGTGTGTAGTCTACTATACCACCAACATTCCTTGGCTATATCATAGCCTATAAAAAAACGCCACACATTTTAAAGAGCTAAAGCTGATAACAGGGGAATCAAAATGGAAACAAATACTAGCAAGCAGAGGAAAATCTCCAAAACCAAACAACATACTTCTAAATAATCCATGGGGCAAAGAGAAAGTCTCAAGGACATTAAGAAACAAAACAAAATGAATGAAGAGATAGTTGATAAGACTCTCTACCAAAAATTAACAAGATCTCTAAAAGGAGACAAAAGCAGATTTTAAAAAAAATCTAAGAATGGGTTTCAGGCTTGCCCTAAATCCTAGGTGGGAGAGAGAGGGAACCGATCACAAGGATCTACATATAACCCCTTCCTTCCCTGGGGGCTGCACAACAGAAAACTGGGTGAAGGGAGACATCAGACAGTGTAAGACATGAAAAAATAATAATAATTTATAAATTATGAAAGGTTCGTGAGGAGGGAGAGCTCGTGGGGGAGGGAGGGGGAAACATGAGCAGCTGATACCAAGGGCTCAAGTAGAAAGAAAATGTTTTGAGAATGATGATGGCAACAAATGTACAAATGTGCTTGATGCTTGACACAATGGATGGATGAAAGGCTTGTGATAAAAGCGCTAAGAGCCCCCAATAAAATGATTTTTAAAAGTAGAAATAAAAAAATAAGTTCCCTAGTGATGAAGCATTGTACGAGCTCCCAATAAAATTGAAAGAAAAAAAAAGACTATGCTCACATATAAAAAAACAAACCCACTGTCAGTGAGTCATAGTTTCAACCTCCAACCTTGAGGTTAGGAGTCCAACACTTACCGACAATGCGATCAGGGCTTATGCACTTATAGGCTGGACAGCAAAACTAGATCAACCTAAATCCTACCATGTCTTAAAATTCTTTTAAAGCTTCATTACTTTAGTATGTATATGTGCCTTCCTCTATGGGCCAAGCACACAGTCAGGTGCTGCATATATTAGTGGTGTCGGATGCTGTCAAGTTGATTCTTAATCACAGCAACTCTCATGACAAAAGAGAACCCCCACCCCCACACCTCCACCCCCCGCCAGGGTTTTCTGAACTGGAAGCTTTATAGGAGCAGACTGGTCTTCCTCCCACTGGGTGAGTTCAAACTATCAACTTTTAATTAGCAGCCAAGTAATTAACAGTTATACCACCAGTGTGTCTCAGGTGCTGTGTAGAGGATGTTTTTATTACTCACCACACCCTGAGACATAAAAGAGATCAGTGACTTGCCCAGAGCCACTCAGCGAAGAAAACGTGAAGCCAAGATCTGACCCCAGACTGACCAACTCTGAATCGTCTTACAAGTTCAGTGGCATCAACACTATCTAGTATGTCTTAATGAAGATCCTTAATGTTGACCTGTCACTTTCTGGTAGAGGTATGGGGTAGGTGGCCTCCGCCCCTTGGCTGGGATGAACCATGCACCAGTGGGAAGGCAGGGCAGCCAAGCCAGAACCATGGCCAGTACAGTGGTAGCAGTTTGACTGACCATTGCTGATACAGAATTTGCAGGCCATTATGTTTTGCAAGACATCAAGCATGTGGAGCCACAAATAAAACAAGTTTTTCAAAGTCTACCAAAATCTGCCTCCAGTGGTGGCTATTACCAATGTGGAGTTGAACCCAAATGACAAAATGGATGCAGTACTAATTCTAGGTATAAGTCCTACTGCCAATAAAGGAAAACTAAGAGATGTTCATCAACAAATTAGGACTCTTAAATCGCCCAGATATCTATTCGTAGATAATAGCCAAAAATCAACAAAACTAAAGATTTACTAGAAGGCCAAGCTAACAAATGAAGTAAATGTATGATGAATTTTGAAGTACCTATTAGTTTATATGAGCCTGACTTTTTATAATAAAATGCCTCAAAGCTTTGGTTTAAAAAAATAGAGTTGATTTCATGAATCTAAGTGTAGGTTCTCGTTCCGATGATCTGTATGGTAAAATGGAGTTTTTCAATTACCCAAGAAAAGATAAATACCTTAGTCGATGCCTGGTCGTACTGTGCTGTTGTTCTCACTAGTTCATCCCTATTTTTGTTCAAAACTTTCTCTTTGTCAGATATCTCTACTTTTGCTGTCTCTAGTTGGAGTTGGAGTTCTTGAAATTTATTCATTTGGCTTTTCATTTCTTTTTCTTTTCCTTGTAGATGTACTTCCAATTCACTAATCTGGCTTCTTAGTTCTAAAATCACAAACAAAATCCACATTTCAATATGCATTTTCCACCAAATTCTTACAATTAAATTAAGAACGTATCATTTACTTTTTACCTTACTTTGTTATCTTTGGTGAGATAAATATAAATTAATTTGCATTAAACACTAAGCTACTTTTAACTAGCTTAAATTTCAATGTTTATCCTCAATTTCCATTTTCCAATCATTTCCATTCAAATACCCTTATAGAAAACAGGCAAATAGATAGATTTTCCTACACTTGCAAAGAAACCTGGGGGGTGGGGATGAGGAGTGGTGGTGGAGGGCAAATGCTATCCTAAAACAGTGTTTTATTTTGACAGCAAAAAGTGCATCATATGTAACACCCTCTGTTAAAATTACCACTTGGTTTTATATACTGACAGACTAACACTTGTTTCGTGCCCGTATGAATGCAAATTAGTGCTAAACCATAAAAAGAACCACTCTCCTGTATTTTCTGGTAGCTTCACCTCCAGTAAAGATCAAGACAGTGTGAATCTCCTATACTGCCAAAATTAACATTTTTTTTTATCCTCCCTCTCCCTGTACACACATACACACACAAATTGGTTCCAATAGTATTGGCAGGTTGACAGTTCTCACCAGTGAACACTGATGGTGATTTTCAATATATCATCATACAGGAAATTATCATATTCTAGAGTAGATTCCAAAACACCACCTGGTACCCTTGGCTGTCAGCCCCAGCATGGTACAGCAGCCAAGGTTACAGGTTGGATCCCATATGGAGAAGCTGACATTGCAAAGGAAAGCTGTGTTGCAGATACGGGCCATGTCTCTGGCCAAAGTGAGTCAGATCACAGGGCTACAAAAGTGGCCACACAGACTCCAAGTGTGGGAGTCCTGTGACCATTCTACTGACCCTATTCATCCATCCATCCTACTTTTGAAGGCTCCTGGGCACCAGCTTTTCTTAATACAAATAAAGAGACATTCCCAGACTGCAATGCCATCTCTACTCTTTAAGGACAAGGCAGTATTTCTCAGCACCCCTGAGATGCTGACCACTGATATTTATAACAAAACACCTAAGCACTCTCTAGGACCAAAATAATCTTGAATCGCTTATTAAATTGCATCAAGCAAACTGAATTTAAACTAAGCTTAGGGTATGGAGTTACCTTGATTCTGGGCTTTTAGTTGGTCCAGATGAGTATGGCTGGAATCATCACAGATGCTGCCGTTCATGTCTTTCTGCCCTACGTGCACAGCTGACCTACTTGGCGGCACGTCTTGTTCCCCAGCAAAGTCAGATGCAGAGAAGCCTCTCCTACTCAGAGTTTTCCGAGTGCTAGATGAAAGGCGATGACTTGGGGTCTTCTCCTGTTGCCATGAGAACACAGACGAGGACGCCTGATGTCGAGCAATCTCTCGGTGATTCATGCTGCTTTGGGAAACAGCAGGACTTGCTTTCTGCAAGAAAAGAAATGCCTCAGAGCCCCTAAAAATCCCAATATCCATCACTATCCTCAGAAAGCATAAAGCAATAATAAAAAGGAACTAATGCTCCCACTGTACAGTCACCCAGAAAGGACTGCTCCCTGCCACACCTGAAACAACATGCTGAGTGACAGAAAGCCACTCACAAAAACAAATACTTCATGAAGTGGGCACATGTATAGAAATGAGAAGTGTATTAGTGCTAAGAGGGTGAGAGGGAAAGCTACTGTTTAAAAAACACAGTATGCAATACTGGTGACAAAATAATTCAGAAAAGGGTGGTGATAACGATTATGAAATTACTAAATGTTCCTTGTACATATTTTGACCCAATTTTTAAAAACAAGTAAAAATAAAAATTTTCTAAACCTATAAAAAAGAAAAAGAACATTCATCAATTCAAGGCAACCACTAAGTTCCAGGATCCAATAATGGAATTCTCTAAGGATGAGATTTCCCAATACCAGCTGAGGGTCAGACTATTTACAATGCTTAGATTACATATTCTGTAATCCTTCTATACTCCATTAGACATGTGAGTGTTCAGTGCCATCTTGAATCTGACTTTCCTTACCTATCATAGGTCACATCCTCCTACAGCTCTGTACAGAGAATAAAAATCAGCCTAAAAAAGCTTTTCAGAATGTAACCTTCCTCCAAAAAACTGTTATGGAATACACATTTGTAAATTATCTGCTTTGAATTGCCTTAGCTTTAAATGCTGTATTATATTCCTTATAGTGAGAGGTTTTCTTGCCATAGTTAGAGGCCTACTATTCCTGGAGACTCACATTCCTCCAGAAAGTGACTCTTAGCATCACTATCAGGAGAACTGGCACAAATGAGTGAAGGGGGCGGAAACAACACAGTATGTCTAGGACAAACCAGAGAATTACTAGTTGTTTGGCTTGCTAAGCAATGCCTTTGCTGAACATCAGAATTTCAGTGACTTCAAAATAATGGTGGTAATAAAGGCACAAAAAGAATTTAATTTGTCATAATTATAACAAATAGTTGGTTGATACTAATTTATTTTTATTTTTTTCCCCTAATTCTAAAATTCCCATTATCTACAGTATCTCAGTAGTTTTAATTTATAGTATCTACTTACATCAGCATTAAATTTTTACTGAATTGTGCCATCTCACCAAGTTTTTATGTATAGCCCAAATGTCAATAAATGCTGAACTGGGTTTCCACAACACACAACATATCATAGACATAAATGACAGAAAAATTCAACACATCTACATATCAGTATCTTCAGGGCCAGGACTCCTGAACTGTAGGACTTTTTGCGGAGATTAGGTCAATCTTCTTTAACTACCTCTCTCTCTCATTGCTTCTTTACTCAGATCTAAAAAGTAGCTAAATACTCTTATTAGCAGCTTATTTAAAAGACTCAAGATGCTGATAATCTTCTCTGAATCAACAGCTCATAAATAATGATCCTCAAACCTCAATGTCTGCTAGAAATCAACACAGCCCATCAGAAAGGCTGCAAAAGAAACGACTGCCTCCAGGCGACAAAGCCAATCAGCGAGCAGCAGGAATGACAGTTGTCCGACCCTCTCCAAATATACTCTTCTTATTGTTGTTCGCTGCTATTAGCAGGTGTTGAGTCCTTCAGTTGGGTTACCCTATGGACAACAGAGCAATACCCCGTGCAGTCCTAACCCACCCTCACAATCACTGTCATGTGTGAACCCACTGTGCATCTGTGTCAGTCTATCATTAGTTTTTAGTAGGAAAATATTTATATGGCTATGATTTCTACAGATTATGAATATTGAACATTTAGAGATAAACTAAGCTCCCTACCCAATTTCACGAACGCCTCTTTTCAAAACTAAAACTTATAAATCGTCACAATCAGTAACCCAGGATCATCATTTTCTCAGTATAGAAATAAAAGTCCACTCTAGGTAAAACAAATTTACATCACCTAACCTCGCTGTAGCCCATATCAATACCCCTGAAACTGCAATATGCAGTACAAGGTCGATAATTAACTTACTTTAGCATGCAAGGTTTTAACCTCTGCCTCTAATTTTCTTCGTTCTTCAACTTCTTTATTATATTTTTCTTTTAGGTCTTCATACCTGGAACCTAAACACAATGAAATACAGCTTGCTTTTTTCATCACTAATTTCATGGAGAACTTCACAGGTCAATAGTCATTAAGGAAGAGAATCTGTAAATGAGTGGCTAAGAACACCAAAATAGAAAGAACATCTGTGCTAGGACAAAGGATCAAAATACTGATCAAATTTCTCAAATTTTAACTCACACATAAACACAGGTGTTTGGAACATTCTAAAGATGAACTACTTTTAAAGCATACCACATAACATAATGAAGAATGAGGAGAGTTTAAAAGCTCAGTGTTTCAATGTAGTTCAAGTATGCAAATACTATGTAAAAAGTAGTTGTGTCATTTTTTTTAAGGCCCACATTAAAAGGTGGTGTCACTACTGAGTTAATTTGCTTATTAGATGGAATTAAAACCTCTCAGCACCAAATTCTTACCACTGTAATGCTGACTAGGTGTGGGTGGAGTTGGAAAGACTTTCTGTGGTGTTCCCCCGGGATTCAGAGAGACGTCTGCAGATGTCGCAGAGTGTTGGCTTCTGTCAAGCTCAGATTTATACCTGGTAGAAAAAGCCCAAGAGGACAGACACCAAATCAGTTAGAGAAAGCAAAGGCTCCGAATCACCAAAACCAAAAACAGTAATCCACTCACAAAGAATCCCCCCCTCTAGGAATTCATACCACTTCCTTTATCCAACAGACATCTACGAAGAGCTACTGTGTCAGACATAAACGCACCCTGTCATCCAAGAAACCCAATCTCATTGGGGAAACAGAATGCAAACCAATAATGACACGATGTCGAAAAGGCTCTCTCTAATGAGGACCTGGACTGACCACTATGTAACAATGAAGAGTTGGGGGGTGAGGGATATTTTCTATTCTAGTCAGAGAGGCATGGGGATGTAAAAGCCCAACTTCAGAAACCAGGGAGGAAATGGACATTTCTGAGAATGGAGAACAAGTCATGAGAGGGACCTCAGGTGACTTATTGTATTTCCTCATGACAAAAACAGACTTTCGAGACTTATCAAAAGTTCTATGATATTTTTTAAAAGACATAAAAATGAGTTATCGTTATACCTCTAGAAAAGATATATATGGCTGCAAACGAAAAAGGGAGGGGGAGTAGGTTATATATGTACATAAATGCAGAAACATCTCTATAATTCAAGTAAGTTCTAAACACGTCTCAGAACCAAGCAACCCATGTCAGAGGGCTCAACCCTTCCAAGTCTCTACTGTCCAATTTTAGCTTAATATGGGAAATATAATGAACACCCTAATGATATACACCAGAAAGCAGGAAGTTGCTAACTTACAAGTTTCATAGGTGTCCATAGTGGCAAAAGAAATTAACAAGGGAGGATCCCCACAGAATAGTTTTTCTCTTTTCCTTTTAAATTTGGGAAAGAGGGTGAGATGAGATGTTGATGGAATTATATGATTCAGGTGTGAATGTCAACAGGTTTGATGATTATGCTAAGAATTATTATTTTAGGTGTAACTCCAAGAAGGGGAATTCAATTATTCAGGTATGAATGTGTTAATGGCTAGAAGAGCCAGGGGGTGGCCTGAGATGTAATCAATATGGTCTACTTCTAGCCATGATCCTCTATGTGATGGATAATAAATTCTGGCTCTACGACTGTGGCTATCATCCCATCTTGGAGGAAGTTCTCTGCTACACTAGATTAAGCTGGGATTAAGTATCCACCTTAGCAGAGAGTGGGAACCAAGTTATGACCCTTTGTTTCCTTGGAGGTATGGTCTGCTAGGGGTATACATTTGAAGTGTGGTACTGGTGAAGAATATTGAAAGTATCACAGACTACAAAAAGGACAAACCAATCTATCTTGGAAGAAATGTGTCCAGAGTGCTCCTTAGAGCAGCAGTTCTCAACCAGTGGGTTGTGACCCCTTTGGGGGTCAAACAACCTTCTCACTGGGGTCGCTGAATTCATAACAGTAGCAAAATTACAGTTATGAAGTAGCAACAAAAATAATTTTATGACTGGAGGTCACCTACAACATGAGGAACTGTATTAAAGGGTTGCGGCATGAGGAAGGTTGAGAACCACTGCCTTAGAAGCAAAGACAGTTAAGGCTTCATCTTGCATACTTTGGACATGTCAGGAGAGACCAGTCCCTGGAGAAGGACATCATGCTTGGTAAAGTGAAAGGACAGGGAAGAAGAGGAAGGCCCTCAAAGAGATGGATTGGTACAGTGGCTGCAACAATGGGCTCAGGCACAGGAACAATTGTGAGGATGGCACAGGACCAGGCAGTTTTGTTCTGTTGTGCATCCATATCACAATGGGTTGGAACAGACTCAGTGCACCTAACACAACAACGACGATCTACTAGAAGAGAAAAACCACACTTCCACCACAGCCATTCCTCCTACATATTCCCAGGAACATAAAGGAAGGAAAATCATCAGTGGAGCATGTTCAGGATCTCTTTCTTAAGTGGCAGAGCCAAAGCCTATGGCACCAGAGGCTGCAGCAAGGAGACTATGGGACAGAGCATAGGAACCAGGCCAACACCAGAGGCCAAAGCAAGGAGACCATGAGACAGAGCAGAGGAGCAACGCTGAGACTCTGAGACTGAGGCAGAGCAGTGTTGACCTTCCTGGCCCACAGAGACAGAGAGAGAGGCATGGCTGCAGGCTGAGAAAACATATTGTTGTGGACCAATGACTATATCTTTAATGTTTCCTGACCCTGGCTGTGGTAACCTGTTAATTTCACTAGTTAATTCCCTTTAATCGCGAGTCTTATTCAACTTGTGTGTGGCCATTGCAACAAACTATAGAAGCCAGCAAAGTAGTTTTGTGAGAGGAAGGGTTTGCATCAGAACTGGTAACAAAGAATGGAGGCATGTCTGACCTCTACTTCGTGGCAACAGGAAAGTCAGAGGTGGTCAGAAGTGGCCCCTGGGCCTGTTTACACATGGGCACCTTATTCCAAACAGGAGTGAAGGTGCCTCTGTGTCCCTAGTTTCTCTGAGCTCCATTATTTTGGGAAGAAAGAAATAATATATGAGCTGAGAATGATTCCTCAGCAAATCTAATCAACTTATAGTAGATAACAATTAAAAATGTCCAACGGAAATATTCCATTAATTAAACAAGCAAAAAAGTTCCACTATAAAATCATGGTCTCCAGCTTCAAGTAGACCAGGAAGTGCTTCTCCAACTCTTGCTTCCCTATTCATCACTCTCAAGCTTTCACACACACACACACACACACACACACACACACACACCATAGCCCATCAGTTTAAGCCATGCTTGAACTTTCATCCTTCAACCTTGACTGCATTTATTCACCTTTCCCTTCTTCCATCCTTTCAGAACATGTATAAAATAATACACAATCCTAGAATAATGCACAATCCACTCCTGTGTTAGAATCCCATCATCTACTTTCCCATAGACATAACTAATTTTATCTTTTCTATTAAATCCTCAATGTTAGTTCTTATATTCAAGATATACAGGTTCCTCTGCACAATTGTAAGATGATTGCTCTCCCTCCTTCTTGAACTTCCATCATCTCTTGACATCAATGATACCATAATTCTCCCAGTATTCATTCCACCTTCACTTCAATTTCCTTTTCTTATCTTTTACGCTTTTATACAATGCTATCTCTCAAGGTTCTGGAATCGCTCTTACTCTATACTTTTTCTTGATGACACAAATCATTCTTGTAGATGCATTATATGCTGACAGTTTCCAGGTTTACTTCTCTAACTCAGAACCCTCTTTGATTTTGTCTTATCCAAGCATAGCCTGGGCATATTCCTCTCAAACCTAATCCTCACTCAGGGAACAAGCACCTCTGTCCCGCTCTCAACCCTGAATCTTAGGACCATCTTTTACTCCCCTGGTACTGTTCTCCCTCACAGCCAACCAGTCACTGAAACGTACTGAATGTTCACCTATTTATGTATGTAAATTCAAGCTTGTTCTCTCTCTCCGAGGTCTCTCCTTCAGGGTCTCCCTGCTCCAGTTCATTCCTTTTTCAACAACTCTCCTCATTGGAGTCAGTGATTTCTCACACCTCACCATGGCATTCCCATACTCAAATCTTTCAATAGCTGTCTACTGTTCAGGGTTCCCATGGTGATGTTCAAGGCCTTGCCCACGCTGACCCTCCTTAGTTATCCAGCTTCCTCTGTCATGACTGGTGTCAACTCAGTTCCTGACTGCACTACTCTGGGGTCCCTGGGCAGCTCGCCTTTCTCCAGGCTTCTCCACACATAATGCCGCTGCTGAAATCATCCTTCCTGGCCAACTCTTACTCCGACTTCAAGATTGAACAGAAAAATCCCTTTCCCTTGAGGGTTCTCTTAATGATTCATTCCTAGTACATCTTATACTTTTCGCTTATATTAACTAGATTGCAAATTGAAGCATGTAAATATTTCACTAAAGTAAAATCCACGAAGGCAGAGTCCATGTCTACCCTGTCTGTCCCTTAAACGTTTTACCAATGCACTGACAGCTGTTTTTCAGTGTATAGAAAACTTTTTTAAAAATCAACCATGAGGATAGAAAATAAAAGGGGAACTGCAGTAACTCCTGTTGACAATTTTTATATTATTTATCACTGTATTACACAGTGACAAGCACCGTGTCTAGAACACGAGGAGCTTCAAAAGTTTACAAGAAAATGGACCTAAAAGATAATAGAATTTTCTGAAGCCCTCATCTATAGCAGCTTAATAAGCATGACATGAATCAAATGAGTCCCTTGTAGTGCTAACGCTTAACAAGCTGAGGGCACTTCAAAAGACAGATTTGGCAATCCATTTCCAAATATCAACCATTGGAAACCCCATGGAATACAGTCCCAGGGGTTGCCGAGAGTCAGAATCAAATGGAAAACAACTGCTTGTTATTGCTTTTGTAATGAACAGATGATTAAGCAAGCAATTTTAAAAAGATAAATTACTAAATCTTGCAATAGAAGTTTGGGGATTATTAGGAAAGAATTATTTGCTCGGATCATTATTTCTGCCACCAAGGGGGGAAAAAGAACCTCACACTGTCTAATTACATACTTACTGGAGAAGGAAAACACATCTGGTGACTTCAAACAGTTGATGAAAAAATCCACTATCTTTTACTGTTAAATATTGCTGCGAATTTTTGGCAGGCCCCTTGTAAAAAACCAAATCCATATAAATTTCATTTTTAAACAACTACCTTTTAAGTTCCTGTTCCAGCTGTTCGATTTGTTTTTTGCTTGAATTCAGTTGTCCTTCCTGGAAATTCACTTGGGACTCCTTGACTTGAAGTTCATGAGACATCTTCTGCTTAGTTTTCTCCAGATTCTCACACATCTCCATCAAGCGTTGGTTCTCCCTTTTCAGGTTCGTGCCCTCTGTTTTTTCATTTTCAACCTAAATGAGATTGTTCAGAAAATGATGTTCACTTATTCATGAATCTGTCAAATATTATTTATAAATATGACTAACATTGACCGTAAAGTTCTCAGGCATGGCTGTAATAATCCAGCTGTCAGTGCTGTGTGTGATCACATTTTAAGTAACACACTTTGAAGCCTATCGGCAGGAAAGTTCTGCTAAGTCTTGAATGACACTGTCATCAGTCAAGGCTGCATGCACATAACCTTCCTAGGCAAGAAGTGAAAAAATCTTGGTCTAAAGGGTCAGAAATGGGAAATTATACTTACCAGATATTGAGTTTCTGTTTGAGGTTAAACAAAAGCTTTGCAAATAGTGGGATGTTTTACCACATGATGTATGTATTTAATGTCACTTAAAAATGGCAAACTTTATTTGTATTTTATCACAGATTTGGGGTTCTGACTCCACATTTAGTTCAATGATATTTTTTTATGATCAAAAATTAGAAGCTAGAAATTTCCCTTAACAATTCATTTCCAATTCAGCTAAGCCTAGCTATCCCTGAGGAATTGGAAAATTCTCCAACAAGATTATTTAGAAGCAGTGATTATACAAGAGAAGGTCCTAAAGAAACAAGACTTGCAAATTCCAGTGAAAAGCCTACACTCAAAAAAAAAAAAAACCCAATCATTGTGAATATTGCTCCATATTCACAGCCAGAGCTCTTTGGCCTTGTTAAAAATGGAAAGTACTCCCCAAAACACAATTCAAACAGTTGTTGAAAATGGAAGTCGGTAACCCTAAATATTAGCTGGTAAGCCCAAATGAAGATGAAAGTGGCAATTGCATTTTATAAAACAAGAAATGAGGAAATGTAAATTACCACCTGCAGATAGCAAAATCATCTCACTAAATTTAAAAGCTTAATCCAAACAATGAATGAACCGTTTTAAACACCATCCTTTCAGTGATATTACCTTCTGCTTTTGCTTCTGCAATGCAGCCTCCAGAGTTTCGAGCTGAAACTGCCTTTGCTGCCTTTCTTTCTTTAATTTGTCAAGCTGTCCTTCAAGTTCTTGAATTTTCTGAAGAGCTCTTGTCGGCAGGCCTTCCTTCCACTCTTCTAAAACCCAGCTCATCTTGTTTGCCTTTTTTTTACCCAAACATTTATAAATAACTGTAAAGAAAAAACTCTGTCAATCTTAAAGTCTCTGAAACAAACCAGTCTATCAAACCACATTTAAGAATCCAGTTTCAAAACCTCACATTTATAAAGATAGCCAAGTATAGTATTTATCTTCTCCATGGCCTGAAAGCAATTAACTTAGATTATGAAGTACTGTACATAACAGGCTTAAGGAACCCTGGTTGCATCATGGGTTAAACACAGGGCTAATGACCACAGGGTTGGAAGTTCAAACCCACCACTTACAGGCTATCTGTTCTCATAAAGGTTTACAAAAGGTCATGACTGACTCCATAGCAGTTGAGGTTTTTGTTTTGTTTTGAACGTAGTTTGTTGGCCTCCCCTTGCATTCCTGTTTTCTCACTTATCAGTTTTGACTTACATGGCTACCTGACCCCTACAGCTCAGCTTTTGTAATACAAAACATGAATATTTTGTTTTAAGATTTTCAGATGACATTACTCACTCACTGCCATTGAGTTGATGCTGACTCATAGCAAACCTACAAGGCAGCAAGGTAGAACTGCCCCTGTGAGTTTCTGAGACTATAACTCTTTATGAGGGGGCTGGCCCCAATCCCAACTACACAGACAAGCCCCCTCCCCCCAGAAGAATTCACTTCGGAGAACACCACCGAAACTACAGCTCAGGGAGAGGGACATGTCTGGTCAGAGCACACAGGAGCAAATGAAGGGGGAGGAAGAGAGAGTGGTGCACATCCTGGCCCACCAAGCCCTGAGGACAATATTCCTGCTCAGAGCAGCCAATGCACAGAGGACCATAGAGCCGGCCCCACTACGAGACACACATTCCCTCACTGACCCAAAGCACTACAGGGGACAACACTGGAGAGAAAGTGCAGGAATTGTGCCCGATGTGACCACACCACACCAAGGCAAAACACTAAGGGTGTGTAACAGAACAGCAATGAGGGCAGAGCAATGATGTCCCTGAGAATACCAAAAACAGACTGTGAGGCCAGGGCATGGCACCCCATCAGACTACTGGAAAACACTCCTAAAGATCAACAAACAGATGTTGACCTATTTACAGTCTTTTTTTTTTTTTGTCGTTGGTTTTTTTTGTTTTTTCTTTTGTTGCTTTGTTTTGCTCTGTCTTGTTTTTCTGCATACTATTATCTCTGCATGTCTATCCAGATAAGATAGGCAGGATAGACAATCTGGAGGAGAAAACAAGGAGACCAACAGTTCTGGGGGCACATGGGAAAGGGGGAGGCAGAGAAAATGAACTGGATGTTAACAAAGGGGCAAGGGAACAACAAGTGATCTAAAATCGATGAGGAGGAGGGTGTAGGTAAGGCTTGATTGATCGAGGGCAATGTAACCGAGAGGAATTACTGAAACCCAAATGAAGGCTGAACATGATAGTAGGACAAGAGGAAAGTAAAAGGAAATAGAGGAAAGAACTAGGAGGCAAAGGGCATTTATAGAGGTCTAAATACAGACATGTACGTATGCAGATATATTTATATATGACAATGGGGAAATAGATCTATAAACATATATTTATAGGTTTAGTATTAAAGGTAGCAGATGGACACTGGGCCTCTACTCAAGTATTCCCTCAACACAAGAACACGTCGTCGTTCTAATACTCCTGCATTCTATGATGCTCACCTTCCCTACAGGATCCCTGAAGACAAAATGGTGCATAGGCAAATGTGGTGAAGAAAGCTGATGGTGCCTGGCTATCAAAAGATATAGCATCTGGGGTCTTAAAGGCTTGAAGATAAACAAGCAGCCAGCTAGCTGAGAAGCAACAAAGCCCATATGGAAGAAGCACACCAGCCTGTGTGATCATGAGGTATCAATAGAATCAGGTATCAGGCATCAAAGACCCAGAACAAAATATCATATCACTGTGAATGAAGGGGAGTGCAAGTGAAGACCCAAAGCTCATTTGTAGGCAATTGGACATCCCCTTACAAAAGGGTAACAAGGAGGAGATGAGTCAGTGAAGGTGCAGTATAGAACCATTGAAACATACAGCTTTCCTCTGGTTTTTTAATTCTTCCTCCTCCCCACTATCATGACCTCAATTCTACCTTACAAATCTATCTAGAAAGAATATGTACCTGGGTACAGATAAGAGCTAGAAACAGAGGGAATCCAGGACAGATAAACCCCTCAGGACCAATATTGAGAGTAGCCATACCAGGAGGG